AATTCGACCTCGGCGCCGCGGCACCAGTCTTGGACGTCGGCCTGGCAAAGTTGAAGGGCGATCATGAGAGCGGCGCGCGACAGCTAGCGGGAATTGCACTGGGCGCCTTCGCCGACGTGTTGAAGAAGTCGGACATTTCCGACAAGGAGGTCTGGTGGGCGAACGCACGACGGGCAGGCTGGCACTTGTGGAAGAACGGAAGGGAGAGCATGGGGGCGCCGATTTTGAGCGTCGTGCTGGCCGGCCTGGATGTGGTTCGCGAAAAGGCCAGCGAGGGCCTGTCGGCAGACGTGGTCGACGATATCGTCGTTTCCTTGGACGAGCTTGCCAGGCAGAGGGAGGCGTCGGCGAGCAGGATCGCAAACGCCTTCGCCGCGTTTCTGCAGCAGCGCCCTGCTGACGGGCCCGTTCGCATTCTCACGCTGTCGTCCAGTTCGACGATAGCGAGCTGCCTCACGCATGCGCTCGCCAGCGTTGGCCACAGACTCGATCTACGCATCTTGGAATCCCGCCCGCTCTGCGAAGGTGCCAAACTCGCTTACAAGCTTTCCTCCTTTGCTGCTGAGCACAATTTCTCATCGCGTGTCGATATCACGGTCATGACGGATGCCGCGGCGGGCATAGCCTCCCAGGACGTGGATCTACTCCTCCTCGGAGCGGACCTGATTGACAGACACGGCAATGTGAGCAATAAGACGGGTTCGTTGCCGGCTGTTCTAGCGGCGAGGCACGTTTCGAACAATGTAAAGATTGTGGTTGTGAGCGAGAAGGAAAAGGTGCTGCCGTTTGAAGCGCCAGGGCATGAGGACAATGATGCTGGTGAGGTGACTCGGGGTTGGGATAGTGTGGGAGTGGTGAGAGGGCAAGAGCCAGGGGGAGATGTGAAGGTGAGAAACGTGTATTTTGAGTGGGTTAATAATGGGTTGGTGGATGTATATGTTACGGACGAAGGGATTTCGGGGACGGAGGATGTCATGAGGTGGGCGGCGGATATTGAACGGAGGGCGAAGGACGTCTTTGACGGGTTGTGATGGCGGTGGTTTTGCAAGAACTGCGGTATGTGCGCGAATATACCGTGAGTGTCCTGTCATGACGTTCATTACAGATTCTGACACGAGATTGGCAAAGCCGGGCAACCAACAGGCGGTATCAAATGTAATATGTTGTTGTTGTTGGTTGTAGGCATCCAGGTTGCCATGTTTCCCCAGCCAAAAGACCCTACCATCAGAAGTGAGCATAAACTTTTGACAAGTAGCGTGCATTCTACGGCAAGACACTTCAGGTCTGTTTTTTTCTTTTCGGATCCCGGTATAAGCATTTATGCCTCATCCTGCAACTGACTCTGTAAGCCCCGTTTACCTACCCTCATCGCAATCTCCAACTCTCTCTCCTCATCTCTCAATCGCGCCTTGCTAGCTATGAGATCCCTCTCCCTCCGCTTCTTCTGCTCTTCCACAACTCGATTTCTCTCCTCCAGCGCCTTTTCACGCTTGCCTCGCGCCTCCCTCGCCTTCTTCTTCCTTTCCTCATCTTCCTCGGAAGCAGCAACATCTTCCGGCGGCGGCGGCAGCGTCTGAAGATACGCTTCCACAAGAGGGTCGCGAATCTTGGGATCCAATGAAATGTACCGCAGATCAATAAGTACAGGAGTAGGCAAACTCGTCGGCGAGGACTTGTTATTTAACAAGTGGATGGGTTGAGCTCTCAGTAGCGCGGTGAGATCAGACTTTAGCTTTGCTTGTGGCATCTTCAATCGACTTATATGTTCGCGGTATGCCTTTTCGCGATCTTTGTCAGACAGTTTCATATCCTTCATCGCTTCCTCCCTTTTATATTTTCTCTTGAATTCGGGCCAGTACAACTTTGGCGTGGCCTTTTCTTGCAGGAAAGCCATGTATCCGATCTTGGGGTCCTTCTTCTCCTGCTTGGCTCGCTGTTCTTTGAGTTCGGCAATCTTCTCGCGCATCCATTCGTCCCAGCATTCTTTGCGCGCTCGCGTTGTAGTGAGGGCTGTGTACCGTGGGTCATTCATAATTTTTCCTTCTTCGATGAGTTTATCCCATGGGCTGTAGGGGTTAATGTTGAAGTCGTTGAGCAGATCCTTAAAGAGAAGCTTGGCGTCTTCTTCCGAAAATTCAACGCCCTCTGTGCCCTCAGGCCAGCTTTCCATATTGCCGTCGTCGTAGTCGCCTGGTTCGAGACCGTATTCCTCTCCCATGGCTTGGAGTTGCGCGGCAATGTCTGCCTCAGTAAATTCGACAGGGCCGTCTGCTTCTTCTTCTTCTTCCTCCTCCTCCTCCTCCTCCTCTTCTACCACTTCTTCTTCAGATTCGCCTTTATTTGTCCGCCGTCGTTTAGACGGGTGCTCAGTGTCAAGGGAATCACCACCCTCATCGTCAGTCACTTGTACCTCGATCTCTTCATATTCGTCGCTGTCGTAGTCATGCTGCTTCTCGGCCATATCCCCTGTTTGATTCTCCCCATCTTTTTCAATTTTGGCATCCTCTGCTGCGCCAGTAGCTTTGCCCCGTATTCGTGCCTTATCTAACTCAAGGATACCCTCCATAAGCTTCTCTGGGATGCGCCAGTAACTCGCATTTTTCACTGGATTATAAGCAAACCGTCTGGAATACTTTGTGTACACAAGAAGCCACGGTTCACATCCTGGAATCTTCTCTGCCTTCCTCGGTTTATCAACGGGTTGTGGCTTCGGCCTGCCTTCGAACCCTCCCCTACTACCACCTCGACCGCTGTGAGCGCCTCGAGCTCGGGGCTGGTTCTGGGGATTGAGTTGCGCAAGATATGCATTTGCCACCCGTGGATCGGCAAGCGACGGGAGATTCGCGTACGGCGAGTATGCGTCTTGCGCCGGCACTGCAGAGGGTGGCGGCACGCCAGGTCGCTGGTAAGTTGATTCCTTTGTTGATGCATTGTAGTAGTATTTGTGTCCTGTTGGCGCGGTATGTTCTGTCCACCCAGGCGGTAATGGGGCCGACGCTGCCGCAGCAGCAGCTGATGGCTTGTATGTCGATTTGAGCCCGCCAGCGCTCGCCATCGTTGCAGAGGTTTTGAAGACAATTCGGTAAATACTTTCGAGATCAAATCTTTGGATGTCAACGTCAATGCCGAGTCAGCCACTGAGCTGGAGCTTGGGCGATAGTGGAGCATCCATCCGAAGTACCTGGGTACTTAAAATAACCGTTGACCTCGACCTTGGAAGGTCCATCCGAAGCACAATTGCATTTAGGTACCTATTAGGCAGGTAGGCAGATATAACAATTGGTGAGTTTTCGAAATTAGCTTTTGGGCGTGAAATTGTGAACTGCATCGTCAGTGTCTGAGCACAACAAAGATATTCCCCGTTCTCCTCAACAGCTCTGTTACGGCAGTGCGACTTGACAACGATTTCGCCAATGGAGTCTGATCCTAGCAGGCCGGAACCTCAAGCCCCATTAATTCTTGCCATCATCCCTGTTTTGGTTGTTTCGACGTCGTGTTCGCAGCATCAACCTACTTGAACAGCGCCGAAGCCTCTTGCTTCGTAGCAAACAATTCCCATGGCCTCCATCAAGTATCTTTAACTTGGACTGGGCAATTTAATTCTCTTGTTCATCGCCATGGCCCCTCGCAGGGTATCCAGCGGACCCGTGGCGTTCCTCGGTCGAGCTTGGCAAGTAAGCTCTCCCTTCAACCCGATCGAGACCAACAGTCTCAACTGCAGCCATGCAACTTCATTTCTAATGATTCTCTAGACTACGCACGCTCCGGAGTATGTTGGACTCGTGATATTGATAGCGGGATGGCTTGCTGTTGGACTCATTACCCGACCTCCTTTCTGTTGTACTCGTCGCTAACTTGCCAAAGCTCGCATTGTTTGTCACGCCATTTCACCGAATGTTTTTCATCAATGACCTTCATATCGCATATCCTCATGCTGTACATGAGAGGGTATCTGTCCGTACGTCAATCATGTTCTCGAAACTGGAGGCCCGATGAGCACCACCAGCTAACTGAGCCCAGCCTGGCTGTTCATATATGCCTTCTTCATTCCCCTAGGCGTCCTCATCCTCTACAACCTCACCGCCAGGTCGCCCATCGTAAAGCATGAAGTCACCTACCTCTCCTTTTTCATATCCATAGTTCTCACACTATTTCTCACCGACGTGGTCAAGAACGCCGTGGGTCGACCTCGTCCTGACCTCCTGGATCGATGCCACCCGTCCCCTGGAACTAAAGAGAATGTCTTAGTCACTATCGAGGTATGCACCGCCGGAGAATCACACAAGTTACAGGATGGATGGCGATCGTTCCCATCTGGTCACTCATCGTTCTCCTTTGCAGGATTAGGCTTCTTGAGCCTGTTCCTTGCCGGACAATTACACATTTTCCATCACCCAATCGGAGGGAGGGATCTAGGTAGAGCATTGATTTGCCTGTCACCCCTGGTTGCGGCGACACTGATTGCCATTTCGCGCTGTGAAGACTACAGACATGACGTATATGACGTCTGTGTTGGGTCAGTGCTGGGGATGAGTGTAGCATATTGGAGTTATAGACGTCATTGGCCGAGATTGTCGATCGCCAGGTGCCATGAGCCGTATCCTCGACCGGGCGCGGATTTGCAGTCTGCAGCATGGCAGAGGGTTCGTGATGAGGAGGAAGGTGGCCCTGCTATGGATGACGAATATGAGCTTCAACCACAACGACCGTCAAGAGGCTGATACCAGCATGCTGAAATGAGCAAGTTGTGGTTGCATGTACGATGTTCTAGGCAGCATGGGTGAAAGTATACACATAGATTTGTACGAGGAAATAGCGTTGCATATAGAAATCCGGAATACGTTGGCATGTCAAGTCTCACAGAGTATGCCGCCCGGCAAAAGAACTACGACTTGCGCTTGGGCTTCATATCGTTCAGTTCATTCATTGTATTATTACAAGGGCCACCACAGGGCGGCCCGCTTCTAAATCAATCCCGTCTATCCTTTGTCTTGGACTGCCTATTTCTCCTCAGCATCTTCGCTCTTGGCCAAATCATGCTCCTTCAAAAGTGCTGTAATCTCATCCGCATTCCACAACCTGTGATAAATCTTGCCATCTTCCGTCTGTCCTACTGTGGCGAACTCAACTACATAGCTGGTTAGTAAAGCAAATCATTGTAAAACTGTTTGACGTCCGCACTCACTCTTCTCGCTGCTTAGCTTGGTAGAATCCATCGTCTTGCTCAACACCTTGACAGCCATGGCACAGGCTTCTTTCAGTGTGCAATCCTCCTTGTAGTCTTGCTTCAACAAACTCTGGGCACTGGCATTGTTGGCGCCGGCGCTGGTTGCCTTCCAGCCACCGTAGTTGCCGGATGGGTTACTAAGGTACAGTTGGAATTGCCTTCGAGGGTCCCAACCAGCATAGATGAACGAAACACCAAAGGGTCGGAGACCGCCGTGCTGGGTGTATCCCTGTTTCAAATCGCAGAGGCGGCGAACGAGCTGCTCGCAAGGAATGTCTTCGTTGTAGGTGAGGAGGTATCGCTGGGCGGCTTGGCGAGCGTAGTTGATGAGAATGTTGGCGTCGGCGGTCATGCCAGCAACTGCGCAAATCATATTGCTAAGGGCTATTAGACAACGTAGCTGAGCAGATATGATAATGCATTAAAGCTGAAACCTACTCGTTCAGAACATACAGCTTCTCCGCTGATGTGTCCTGTTCCAACAACTTGGAAGTGACTTTACGCTCTGCCGCGAGGACAATACCATCCTTGGCGAGAATGCCAATGGCAGTGCCGGCGTGTGAGATGGCCTCCAGAGCATACTCTACCTGGTAGAGACGGCCTTCTGGTGAGAAGATTGTTGTCTACAGGCGTCGCGGGTTAGTTATTGAGCTTGAGGAACTACTGGTATCCAAAAGGACATTTCGACGTACTCGGGAATCGTAACGGCGAGACATGGCTGCGGAGACGACCGGTTTGTCAGGTCAAGCGGTAAAGAACCTAAGATGCGAGTCGCTCTCTTCTAGGGGTTTCAAGTTATTATGTCTCGATGATTGGCGGAGGAGAGCAAAGCAATGAATTGATGATGTCTGCAGGTGGGTTTGAGATGCTTCACCACAGGCGTCACTTGCTGTCGCGAGAGCTCCAGGCACAAGCTAGCCGCGTAGGTAAGCTCCATCCAGCCTCACATGGGGAGTGACTGATACCTCAGGCTGCAGTTGCATTGCGTTGCTGACTAACGTACGTTGACTCGAATGACTTAAACTTGCCGAAATTCTACCGATACGGCCAAGTTACCTGCGCCGCCTGCTTTGCTTGAAAGCCCAGGCTCCACTCGCCATCTCCACAGGATATCTCTATCGAATAGTCTTGGATAGAGAATAGCCCTCATGTTGGCCTATTGAGCTGATATGAGACGCCCAATGCAGCCAGCATACTAGAAATAAAGAAGCAGTGTGCGTCATGTTTGACCGTCTTTATAGCTTAACAAGTTTTACGAGTGCGGTTTTTTGAACTTTCTAGTTTCACACAATTGAAGGGGGAGGCAGCGCTGAACTTAAAATGCTAAAACCTGCACGAAGTGTGATGCGTGAATGGGGCGTGGTCTGCACGTGAGCATGGGTAATGGGAGCTCGTACGGAGTAATGGGAGCTGGTTGGGTGGACGATTAGCCAAGCAAGCAGGCGACACCACTTGCCAGCGAAGGTCCTCGAATTTATCTCGACTACGCCTTCCGCCACAACGAACTGCTTCGAGATCTTGCCTCTTCCATCCACATCAACATTGTACGTCGGTGTCAGCCAGGATCGGCTGAAGCCTTTCTATCAACCTGTGCGCGGGTTTTTACGATCCCATCCATTTGACTACTCATATTCCAGATATTCTGCTCCTTGCAACGGTTTGCGCAAGTGCAGCACGGTGTTCTTCGCTGACGCGGCGCGAGCTTTAATTGCCCACCGCCCAACGGCCTTTTGCATCGCCCACTCCTCCGCTCCTTTTTTTTTCATCCCGCCATTTCCCACTTTTTGGTCGCGACAGCTCCTAGGTGCGCAACAAGACTGAGTCGCCTTCACGTTAAGGTCCGCATTAAAGTCGGAAAATAAACATCGCGCATAACACTGTGTGCCGTTTGGGAGTATTTCTTTCGGAGATAGAAGGGTTGCTTGCTGTGGTTGGATTTGTTCTCGGCAAATTTTTCCTTGTTATAGTCGTGACTCTAGCCCTGTCAGCGTCGTAAATTTCAAATGCCTGTTTGAGAGGGCTAGACAGCTTTTGAACACTCCTCGCCTGCAAAAGTAGATCGCGAAGTCACCGGAAACAGCAACCGAACACCAAGACCCTTATCACGCGCGTCGCTCCCACTTGCGGCCACAAGATACCACTCCCTGCCACATAAGACGCGATGTCTGGTAAGCTCAAACCAACTTCACTCTACTGGGTCCAGAACGCACGCCTGAGGCGCTTGCGCATTATGTGCAACTCAAGGACGGAATGCGACAGGCATCAGACAAAGCAACTAACACCAAGTCTATAGGAGAGGCAGAACCTAGGCGCTCGGTCAGAGCAACCAAAGGTCAACACACGAAATCATTTGACGAGCTCGACCCTGCAGTGGCGCCGAAACGACGACAGACCAAGAAGACCAAGAAGGCGCAAGAGAAGGATCAATCCCAGGAACCTGAGGAGGTTATTCGGTGTGTTTGCGGAGCAACCGAACAAGATGAAGATTCAGGGGAGGCCTGGATCTCCTGCGAGACATGCTATGCCTGGCAGCACAATGTCTGTGTCGGTGTAAGCTCTTTTGAGGACGAAATCCCCGACAACTACTGGTGCGAACAGTGTCGGCCCGAAGACCATAAAGAGCTCCTGGCAGGCATAGCCAGGGGAGAAAAGCCATGGGAGGCTCGACGCAAGGCACACGAAGAAGAAGAGGCTGAGAGAAAGAAGAAGAAGGGAGGGCGCAGAGGCAAGGGCAAACGAAGCAGCGATTCGAAGGATGAGCTCGAAAAGGACGGCAAAGCCAAGGCAAAGGCCTCGCCTGCACCTGAGCCCGCATCAAAGGATAGAAAAGAGCCCGCTTCAAAGCAGGGAAAGCGAAAAATTCGAGAGGAGTCGCAGGACACAGATGGCAAGGTAAGATATGCTTTACATCCACTTGCATGTGGCGCACTATGAACGCAAGCTAATGTCTAATAGGCAGCTAAACAACGTCGAGTATCAGAGCGTGATGTAGTTCCTGCGGCCGCCAAATACACCAAACCTGATGATCTGGCTTCGGCGATATCTGAATTGGCTACATCACGTTCAGGCCCTGCCAAGGCTCTGAAGAAATCCATTGCTCATGTTCTGGCTATCATTGCAAAGGATGGGGAACTCAAGGTTCCCGACGGCAAGACAGAAGACAGCATGTCTGAGGAATATGCCTTACAAATTGAGCGCGCTGTCTATGATACGCACCCAGCATCCAAGGGTCAGAAAGAGTACAACCATCAGATTAAGTCTCTGACCTTCAACCTCAAGAATAACCCGGAAGTGATGCAAGGCCTGTTGCATGGCATACACTCGCCCGCGACCCTTGCTGTCATGACTTCAGAACAGCTCGCGTCGGCCGAACTACAAAAGCAAACTGCTGAGATGAGAGCGAAGGCGGAGAAGCAATCCATCTTATACACACAAGAGACTGGCCCGCGTGTTCGAAGAACTCACAAGGGGGAGGAGGTAGTTGAGGACGAAACCGCCCTTAACGAGGCCCCTTTGCCCATGGCTGGCGGTCCTCGGAAAGGCGTCAGCCAGCATCCACCGCTTGTCAAACGAGAGCCGACTGGGGGAGACCATGGCGAATTGAAAGCGAGATCGCCATCTCAGCCTGAAGCACAACACTCACCTTCGCAATCCAATTTTGACATTAACAAGGTGTTTTCAACGGTCAAATCGCCGACACTATCACAAAACCGTCGACCGTCTGCGCCAGTTCTCAATACCAGCGGCCCTGGATTTGATCCCGATGTTGATCGAATGCTGCAAGATGAGACGGAGTCCCCGCCTTATTCTCCAACTGAAGAATCGCAAGACCCTGATGTTATATGGAAGGGATCACTTGCCATGAGCTCCATTGCGGACTTTCAAGCCATGGCCAAGCACGTCGGAGGCGCCAATTTCGCCTCTTTCGGGCCCTGGTCAAAACTCATTCCCAGGCGAATGACGGTTGCCGGACGCATTACACAACAGAGCGCCATTGAGTACCTGTGCAGTCTTCGATACAGTAATCTCACCGACATAGTTGTTGTTAGCATCACCCCGACATCAGCGGAATCCCAGCCAGATTTCAGGGCGTTAGTCGACTACTTCATTAGTAAAGGTCGATACGGAGTCGTTGGAAACAAGGTCGCAGGAAATGTCAGGGATACGTACCTTGTGCCTGTGCCTGCCGGCGACGATGGTCACCCCGAGTTTATGCTAAACCTGGTCGATAATTACATCCCCAAGACAAGAACGGAGCCCATGCTTCTGGCCGTATTCGTGTATCGCAACGAACCAGATCAGCTGAAGCAAACCAACAAGGACGAGCTCACCCCCGTTGCTACGCCTCAGCCTCCCAGCGTCACCGCGTCTCCTACGCCTGCACCTGGTGGGCAAAGAAGCAGCTCGACGTCTGGGCCGGCTTTCTCCCCAGCGACACCGCAGGGCTCATTTGGCCAGCAGCACCACGGAGGGCCTCCTCAGTCGACTACACCAGTCCCTATCCCACAGCCGCCGCATATGCAACGACCGCCTCCGCAGACTGCAGTTCCTCCACCTAGTCACTCCCCCCCGGCAGGTGATCAACTGACAGAGGCCCAAAAGTACCAAGCTCAGCAGGCAGGACAGGCGATTGCAGCGCAGGTGTTGGGTGACTTGATTAGTGTACCCACGGTACAATTCTTATTGCCTCAAGCGTTCCAGATGTCTCGACTTGAGTGGGAAGTGATAAGGTCAATCTATGAAAAGGACCCACGAGCACGACAGGATCTCCAGTACCTAGGCGCTCTTCTGGAGAAGGAAGGCTCCGAGAAACGAACACAAGGGAATGCAGTAGGCGGGTCGCAATAGGCCATGGGCAAGTTAATGCATAGGAAATTCAGTTTACCGGGTCTGACGGACTTTTACATCATCGAATTGGCAATGTAATTCACCCGGCTATACACCATGTACATATCATGAGGGGTTTTCTGCGATATTGTTATCTCATGGGAACAGCGGGATGGGTGTCAGGGTATCACGGGAGGTGTTAAGGAGTATGGCGGAGAAAAAAGTTTGGAACACATCAACAGCCGGCAAGATATTGTAGGGTCCGATATAAGATGACTAAGATGTTAATGCTACGCTGATTATTGTATCAAGTCATGTTTTTCGTTGCGATGGGCCATCATCACATTCACTATGGTGCTTCACTCACTGGCTGCCGAAGAGAATTGTGGCCCAGTGCAATGTGAGGACTGTACTTTGATCTCCAAAAAAAAAAAAAAATACATGTCATTGCAGATCTATCAAGTTTGGAAAAAGGTGCAACGACTCAACTCAACCCAACTTTTGTCAATGCGTATGCCTGCGTAACAACAGCCAGGGACGCAGGTATTGAGGAACCGCGCAATATCTACAGCGCCTCCAGGAGAAACCTTGTGAACCCTCGAGGTGACAAAGTACGAACAATGGTTGAAATGGTTTCAACGGGGACTATGTTGTTCTAAAGAAAATACACCTCCCGGGCCGTCAATGCAAAAAAGATGCCGCGGCATCATGGTTACCCCGAAACGCCATGCTGATGCTCAACCAGAATTTCACGCAAAAAAAAAAGCAAACCCTCACAGTGCAAACTCGGCATCCGCAGCGGCCCACAAGTCCATCTCCCTCCTAATCCTCATGTTTTCCGTCTCATCCCCCGCCTCGCCGGCACCCTCTTCCCCAGCAAGCTCCACGT